TTTTTTTTTTTTAACATGCAGTGTAACGCAGAAAATAATTGAAAATACTTATGCGAGTGAATAATCATTGTATTTTAATAATACGTGATGAAAAATTATTCAAATTTTATTATATAAAACTACAAAAATTGCACAACCAGCAACCAGCATATAATGTAAAATTATTAAATAAATTTCAGGTACATGTCAATCATTTTTTATTTTATTCTATCCGAATAATAATCTATCTATATTGTTTCACTTATTTGTATTTATTTATGTATTTTAAGTAACTTATATACGCGACTAATTGTAACGTAATTTTCATTGCCAAATTATAATTTCAGGTTTTCAACAAACTTTATCCATTTATATTTCACAAAGTGATAGTAAATTATAATTTGTAGTTATTCGTACATTCGAACAAATAGTCATATTCTATTATTTTCCACCCTCAAGAATCCTATGATGTAGCTTTCTTGGAAATCGGAAAAATAATGGATTTCAGTATTAGCCAATAACATGCCTCTATAACTTAACTTGTAAGAAATAAACTTCATTTTTCTTCATCCAATCTATCTTTCTTTTTTTGTCTTGTCCCTATAAATTAAATTAATAATTAAACGATACATGTTAATCGATAATTATAGGTTGTAAACAGATGTTATATTAACATTGAATAAGTATAAATGTTGATAATAAATGAATATAAAGGAAAAATTTAACATAAACAGCATAAATATTCTTTTACTGCGTATTAAGCTAATAACAAATAGTCGAGATAAAGGATCAAATATTCTCTTTGCTCAACTATTGTCCAATTAATTTAAAACATCCGAAATTGAAGTTAATTTTTTTCAGAATTTCCAAAAGTATTAATATAAATTCGGTAAAATTTTATCATATTTCTTATTCGTATCATATAGTTTTCCTAGATCATCCATTGAAAATCCAATTAAATTGAAATTAAAATAAACTTTAAAGATAATGTAATAATATATTTATTTATAATCATTAAATATTAATAAAAATATCTCAATTCGTATATATATACATATATATATATATATATATATAATAAATCAATAATTAATCGTTTAATTTATTTTAATTATTATTATACTCATCGTTTGATATGGTTATTATTAAATAAAAAGACATTTATATAAGTTTTTTATTGAAAATAATAATTAAGAATCATCCTTCATCGACAATTGTCAATTATGATGAATAAAACTCGACTAAAAATAGATACATATAAGTAATATATAAAAAACGAGACGAAGTTTTCATTTGTTAATATTTTGATGAACATTTTACATTGTCGAAGCTTTTTGTATTCTCTTTTAATTTCCGGTCAACTTTCATGAAATATTCATTTTCTTTTAAGTATTGTTGCATAATTAAAATATAATATTTAATTTATTCTGAATAATTATTCATTAAATAATTATGCATAAGTAATTATTATTGATTATTATTGATTTCATAGAAATTGTAGAACGATGGCTTGTTTCTTAATAAATATATATTGTCCACTGATACAAAATAAATTAATATATTTTTGCAATTACAAAGTATTTTTATATGCCTTTATATGTTCAAATAAAGTGAATAACAAGTGACGTTATTATTAGATGTTTGATTATATTTTTACAATACATTCATGAAAATCGAGGTTTATGATAGTCCATTACTATAGGGTAAAAAGAAAGATAAGGTTATTTTTTATATTATGATAGACGTTAAAATTATAAGAAAATATGAAAAGTTATATAAGAATTGATTGAAAAATTTCAATTTATCTGTCTTACATAATAAATAAATATACATCGATCGTAAAATCCCTTAGCTAAACAAACCACGCTTTTTCTACTTTATGTTTCATGGTCTTACAATTTGTCTTTCTGTCAGTAGTGATAAATTTTATGGTTTATCTTTAAACATTATAAACAAGCAGTTCATTGGCAAGATATGCGTTTAATTTAAACTTGAAATTCCGTATTTTAATTATAAATTATTTAATATTAAAATTATAATTATTTATAAAATAATTGTTGTTTAGTATAAGCATTAATTATTAGGACTATAAAGGATTGTGTAAGACAATTGTTACATTATTTTGTAATGTTAGTATACTTGGTGATAATAATAAAACAAACCTTGATGTATGTCAAGCGTATTCGAATATTAACAACAAAATCGTTTCTCTATTCTAGATAATAATTATGAAAATTCGATTAAATATATTTTCTTCATAATATGCTATTTATATATAATACAATAATATTATTCTGTTCAATATAATACAATAAATATTTAAATTATTAATAATAAAACATAAGACATATATATTTATATATATATATATATATATATGAAGTATTAAAGATGCAGTTGTACTTAAAAATTCTATAAAAAGAAATGACAAGGCTGCAAAAATTAATTCGGTAAACAATATTTTACCATAAAAAAAAAACATGGAATAAGCGATTTGTTCTTCTATCTAAAATTATAATCATGTCTGTTATCTTCTCACCATCTTCATTGTGCTGTTTTGCACTTATAAAAAATAGCATTATAAGTATCTCTATAAAGCCACGCGCTACATACCTTCGTTAACATAATTGCAATGCACATATTGTTAGTTAATTATGCTCCACTGTATTTTAATCCAGAATTTTTATCTTCTTGTTTGCAAAATTAGATAGTCTAAATATTGAGCCAGTAACTCGGAAACAAAATTTCTTTTTTTTTTTATCCAGTTTTTGTTTTTATATTTGTATTGTATTGTACTGAAGTGTAGTTTCAACTTTAGTTTCTCTTATTTATTTTTACAAGTCGTTACAAGTGAAAAAGACTCATTCAAATTGAATATATTATATTTATCGTTATTCCTTGAAATAATGAATAAAGCTTAAAAAATACGTGATAATTAAAAAGTTTAATACGATTAAGATAAACAGTTTTTGTTTTTATTGTTTGAAAAAGTTAAAATTTTTTTTTTTTTATATTACCGTTGTTTTAATTTCATAAGGCTTAAAAAGTTATAATTACATTGTTTTTTTTTTCTTTTTTTTCTTAGATTACATTTGAGTTAATTACATTTGAGTAAAGTTTGTTAAATTTAATAAAACTATTTGCTACATAAATTTAATTAATTGAAAAGGTAGATAATCTTATTGACTTTCTACCTTCCAATTTTTTATTTTAATGATTTTTAGTTTGGCAGATTATCTGCATTGGAAATACTCGGATATGTGTTTTATTACAAACTGTCAGAGCATATAAATGAAATTATAATATTTATTTTTATAGTAGTATTTTATTCCTTATAAGAAATGATTTAAATATAATAATACTGAAAAATATGCTGAGTACGCTCTAAAACTACAAATACCCTATTATAACATAAAATGAACTTCAGTCGCATTGCGTTAGAATAATTATTTTCTTTAAATAAGCCATTATGTTAGATTTACGATTATTTTACTTGAAATTATATTCTTCAATTTATAAAAAAAAACTTTTATAACATATAATATAAAACTATCAACGAAAATTTAATCGTACGTACGTGTATGCCGAAGAATAATCACAAAAAGTAATTTTCAAAAATTCGTCATATATTAAGAAAATTACTTAAAACTTAAAAGAATTGAATATTAAAAAGCAACGAGCATAAACAATATTTGATGTCGAATCCTGCCAGGTCTGTTATTAAATAAAATAGACGAATGAATACTTGTAAATGTAATTTTCAATTAAAGTCCCTTTGGTAACTTACTATTCTGTCGGTTCAACAAGATTTTGGAACATATTGGTTTATGGTTTGACATCTGGATTAACGTCAGGTGGTCGTGCTTAAATTTCTATCCCACCAGTCTACAACATGATTATTTCATTAAATTCCAGATGGAAAATGCACTATTATCAAAATATATATATTGTATATGAACTATTTTTATACTAAATTTGAAAATTGTTAGAAAAAGATGGAACACCTAAAATATATAAACCATTATGTATACATACATACGTAAATACATACATATATATATATATATATATATATATATTTATTTATTTATTTATTTATTCATCTATAATTAATTTATAAAAGGGTATTTTATGAAAGCAGTACCCACTAATATAATCGGAATAATTTATTTAATATTCAGATAATTTTCAGAAAAGCATAAGAAAGCGGAACCTTGAATTTCTCATACTGTCTACCTTATCTATGTATACAGTTATAAAATAATCCTAGATCATCGGTATAATCTCTCTATAGTTTCCAATGCTCTCTGCATCCAAAATAAGCTTCAGTTAATTTTAGAATTTAATATCTAACACTACTTTAAATATTCTTATGAATAGCAAACAAAAGCCGTTTATACACATTTTATTGTATAAAATTATATTTGATGTGAAAAACATTGTTATGTCATAGAAGTATTTTAGAAGAAAATATAATATTATTTAAAGCCAAAGCAATTTATAATATAACGATGATATGACAAAGTCACTTAGCTTGAGAAATTATAAAATTATGCGAGGACCAATAATACAAGCGATTATTCCGAAAGCTCTTTAATTTTAACATTCAACAATCTTTAATCATACGATTACATTAAATTCTACAGTAACTAGTGATTAATTCTTGAAATCCCCGATCGATTAATCAGCGCAACTATATTACATCTAAAGACAATAGCATTATTAAAGCGCTAAGTAAACGATTAACATACATACGCGAATGATGTAATTAACGGTAAATTTCGTACTTAATCCATCCGGACAACCTGCCCCTCAAATATTTAACGTTAACGATGCGACCAATGGAAGCTTCCAACGGTTTATTGAAATTGCCCAGCCAATATTATCGATCAAAGTAGCACCGAAGCGCCAATCTAATTAAAGTTCGAGCTTAGCGGCGCTGCACACCCGGAGCCCCCGTCCCAATTCAACCGGGCATATTTAACCAGCCGCTCTATATCAAGATGTCTGTCTCGTTTCAGAGTTAGATCTCGACTACTTGGAGCGACGCGGAGATGACAGATACGAGACAGAAGTCACGAGCGGCGTCGGCTCGGCCAGCAAGGAGGAGGACAGTCCAGCCGACAGCCTCGAGCGCGTTAAGGTCGTCTTCCTCGGGGCACCTGGCGTCGGCAAATCCAGTATCATTCGAGTAAGGAGACGTAGCTTTAATTCCTCCCCCAGACCACTCCACTCCACGGCACAAACAGCCGACTCGACGACCTTTAAAGAAAGGGAAACACACAGCGTCCGAATGGCCACCTTAAAGGACCAAGGAATTATCATATCTGAATGATTTTCAAAATCCCGGTATTGGGTGGTTGACCGCGATTCCACGAGACTACGTCCTTTCCCGAAAACCTTTAGCAAGTTGAATTTGTTTATTTTTTTTTATTTTTTTCTTTGATTTTTCATTAAACTTTGTTTTTTTTTTGTTTTTTTTTTTGTTTTTTTTTTGTTTTTTTTTGTTTTGTTTTTGTTTGTTTGTTTAATGGACCTCGAGTGGACGGACGAGTCGGCGACACTTTTTTTTTAAGAAAGTCTTAATGATCGCTACGTGAGAGCATATTGCTGAATCGAATGGATTAACCATAATCTTTCTCGTGGTATTGTCAAATCATTAAATACGTATTATGCTCGAGGACAAAGTATAGTATATTAATATAATACGGAGCCTAATTGACAATTGCGTTTCTTAAATTCCAAGCAAATAAAAGTAATTGTTGGACTTTTGTAATAAGAATCTCGATTGAAAAATACCTTCTCTCATTTAAATTTTTCAAAAATAAAAGAATTGTACACTTATTTCGCGTGATGAAGCATTAAATCCTCAATCTTTTCAAATTTTATACAAGACTTTATAAGCATTCAATCACTCATACTATGCCAGCCAGCATAGTCTTAAAACATATTTTGAAATGGTAAATTTTATGCTCTTCGCTGGTATCGTATCGAGTGCAGTTTATTGTAAAACTGCAACCATAAATAATTATTAAATAGTAAGTATATTATTGGAAAACGTATAGAGATATCTCAATCATATAAGATAGTAGGATAAATTACAAAATGAGTACGAATCTATTTTCAGTACTTGACTGAAAATATATCATAATCACATATAGTGATCGTGTACTATGATGATAAGAGTTTGCATTTCATTTTGACAAAAAATTCAATTTAAAATTCAATTAAAATTACTATATTGCTTTTACATAAAACAAAAATTATTATGCATAATATCTTGTCGGCATTTTACTTTTTAAAAAGTTTGATGTATTATTTATGTGACGTTTTACTTCATTTGAACAAAATTTTTTCCCCTTTCTTTTATGTTAATTTGTTAATTTATTAACGGCGTTGAAAGCTCTGAATTTAATACAATCATATTTATTCATTTACCATGTCTTATTAGAATGGAAGGTACATTTTCTTTTTAAATAAAAGCTAATCCATCAAATAATATTGAATGATCTCTAATCATTGTGTAAAATGTATTAAAGCATATAAAGAACATTTCAATGTGATAAATGATAAATATCTATTTATCAATCTCATTTTGGTATCATAGTGATAAATACATCGATACTTAATTGCTTCAACAACTAATTTTATTATTATAAATTGATGTCTAACGACATAATTTAGGTGAAATAATAATTATAGTCGACGTATTTGTTACTTTATAAATAATATTCAGTTGAGTTTTAAAATAAAATGGAATATTAGATTTTTATTTTAATTAATTAAAAAAAAAAAAAACATCTCATTATAATCTAATTGAAAATTTAATAAAAATTTATTTTAAAAATATTCAACCACTCTTTGATGACGATAAATAATTGATGAATAATTGATTATTTACAAAATATAATACGGTGAAGAACAGCATAAACATAATAAGACGATGCTTAAAACCAACTGAAATATAATAAATTATTAATTATAACGTCATAATAATCAAGGGTCATATCACCAACATTCATACTTTTACTAGGCGCTAAAGTATGTACTCTTTCACTATAATTAACCCAAGTAATGCGTTTAATGCTAAGTTTCAAACATACTTTTCCCATTATGTAATGAGATGCATTAGTCGTGTGTATGTGTAGTGAGAGGAAAACCGATTTTTATACTTAAATTATTAATTGAAAATTTGAATATTCAGAATCGATATTTTGATAAAAAATAAAATAGATGTTATTAATTTTATTGACGTGGAACAAATTAAAAAAATTTAATTCCAAACATAGTTATGATAATTTAATTCTTAAATTAAAAAAATGTGATAATTTCAATTATTGAAAATATAATGAAAATGCATTTGAAATTAATTTGACGTATGATGCAAATTGCTCTTGATAATCCAACGATGCAAGTATCTCTAAAATTCGTTTAGTGCAAGAAAAATAAATGTTATTTAATTACACACGCTCACACACACACGCTCACACACACGCACGCACGCACGCACACACACACACAGCGATCACTAATAAAGAGTCTCCTAATCATTAATATTCAAAGGAATAGAATTAATTATTCGAATGTAATCAGCACGGGCAATTTTTTTATTTCAAGTGGACTAACAATTTTTTCATAGTGAAAATTTGTAATAAAAAATGAAAAATATATTTAAGACTATCAAATAATAATCGTATCAAAAACGATGATTAAATTATTATTATTGATATGAAAATAAAGAGATTAGAATTTTTTCTTTTCTATCCCTTTTAACTTAAATTATGATAATTATATTACGATGTTTCTATGTCGTTCATGACTAAAACGGCATTTTCGATTAACTGAGAATTATGCTTTTGAAAATAATATGAGTACTAACATATGTCCGTATAAAAGGAATAATGTTTTAAGGACATAATTATATTATTACAAACCATAAAGAATAATTGAAAGTATATGACAGATGGAAATATTGTTAAGAATTGAAGAAAAAATCAAATACAAAATACAATGTTTTATCAATATAAGTACAACGTGAATAAAATAATCAATAATCCAAACATCGTACACTTACATCCATACTAACAATGAAAAGCTCTCGTAAAATATTATTTCTAAATTTTCAATTTTTGCCGTTTCTACATTGAAATTTAAAATCATCGAGTAATAAATTAAAAGACGAAGAATCAATGAGCATTCAAAATTTCTTAATAAATGTATCCATCATTATTTACTTGACTTGATATTTTATAGTAATATTTTAAGAACAAAATGGTCGAAAGAATTATTAAATTGCTCGGATTTATATTTTATACCTAATATAAATAAATCACTTATAACAAGTAAAATTGAATGGAAATAGTTTACGATAAAGCACATAAACTACATAATAAATTTATTATTTCGTACAGAAATTTTATACTGATAATATAAAATGAAATATATAAATGAATGCCGCCTTAAACAATATATAAATTTGCTCTACTTTCCTGATAAAAAAATTAATTAATACAAAATAAGACTTGTCCGATTTATAAATTCTTTGTTAAAAGACTTAAATATTGTCATAAGCATTTCTTATAGAATATAATTAATTAAGCTTCTAAGGAATAATTATAAGATTAAATGTTATGTCGTATTTAGAAATAAAAAATTTAATTATTTATTACTTGCATAAATATCATAAATTCATTTATATTTCCTTGGTACATAGATAAAACAATTGTATAGTTCACATATACATATACATGTTAGCAATAATATCAAAAGAATTAACTTTAAAATTAAAGTAAATGTTTTCATGAAGAATGATTTCAAGCTTTATTTATTATTTTGTATCAACAATGCATTCAAATATTATTGTTATTTATAATGCCACATAATAGTTTATTGAAGAAATATAATCTTTCTATGCTCGATTTATAAACATTTTACAAACATATTACAAACAACATACCAAATCATTCGCTATGAATAATAAAAGTACTTTACAAATAAGTAAGAAAAAGATTGCATGAGTTTAAATTTTTCTATTTTTATAAAAATTATTGGAATTGATATATAAAATGTATAGAAGATCACTATCAGATTTCCGTGTGAAGTTATTCGATTTTTGCAACATAAGTCAGAAGCTTGAAATAATATTTATATACCAATAAACTGTCAAATAAAATTTACAATTATCATATATCTTTATATTCCAGCTTATTATTTGCCTGATTGATAAATAAATTAAAATTTACAGAAATATTTATACTAATTTTGTTAAACTAAAAGTATACGAAACAAAATAATTTGTATAAAAATAAAGTAAGGAAAGTATAATTTTTCTAAAAGATATTTAGATTTTATTTGAATCGATTAATATATTAAATAAATAACTCATTAATAAGCAAAATGACTATTAACGACTAAGAAAATACGTATAGAATTTAGGAATAACAATTAGTTAATTTTCTTAATAAAAGCTTGAAATAATTTCTTCTAGCAAAATTGTTCTTAAAGTTAACTTTAATAAATACTTGGTCAATTAAATATTCTTTTGCTTTTAAATAGGTTAAAATCATTTTAATTACATGACATTTAATTCTTATACAATAGATGTATTTAAATCTTCTAACATTTAATTCTTACATTTAATTCTCATATAATTAGATATATATTTTATAATTATTTGATAATCATATGAATGAAAATAAATGAAAAATTTTTAAAACTTCCATCATATCCAAGATACATAGAATCCTTTTTTTATCTGATAACATTTTATTTTAGTTTTATTTAAGAAATTAAACGTAATATAAATTAGTATTTATTATTTTTATTATTTATTTTTATCCAATAGTAATATATTTTTTTGATAAATTACAAATAAATAAGACTTACCAATTTTTGCCTCCGTACTTTTATCCTGATATATAGGAATAAACTAACGATGCATAGCGTATTTAACGAACATTTTATCTCAATCGTGAATCTATATCATCAGCTCGTAAATTTTTTCTCTTTCTCATTTTTGTAATCTTTTGGACCACAAATAATTGCATTTTTAGAAGATATAATAATATAAAAAAAAATTTTAATTAAACAATGGCGATATTGCTCTTCTATATATTAATATATAGGTACACATTTGAATAATTATATACACTTCCATTTCGTGTATTCCGAACTCTATTACATAGGCATTCA